TATTTTAGCCAGTTAGTTTTGATTTTATTCTTAATGTCAAAGTCGACAAAATGTCTTCATAATTTTTTTTTGACAAAATTTATAGATGCGTATTATACATAAGGATATATATATGTCTTAATTTTTGGATCAATTATTGGGATGCACATTATTTATATTTGCGTATTATTTGAGAAATTACAGAATTATGAAAATATTTATAGAAAAGGCATAGGGAAGTAACTGAAGCCAAGATAACAGGTCAGGACCAATAACATTGCAGATTCTTAATAGTTTCTTAATCTCTAAATATAGCAGAAACATTAGACCAGATGTGGCAGCAATATTCAATGCATAGATGAATGGTAGACTTATATAGGCGTAAGATAGATTCTGGCAAGTGAAATGTTCTAGTGCGACTCAGTAAACAGACTTTCCTAAGAGCAGACCTAGCAATTGATTCAATATAATCTTTTCACTTTCATGTCAGGGGAAAACATTAATCCCGAAAAGGGACAAATCACACTCCTGAAGGTTAGCATTAGCCATGCCAATGGAAGGCAAAAATGGTTCTCTCAGATGATTGAGTGAGTGCAGTTTCATTTTGAAGGTGTTAAAATTAACAAGCCATTCCTTGCCTCCTTTAACAACAGAAAATTTAGTTTAGTAATGAAGAGTCTAGTCTTTGTTATCATTTTGCCAGAACACCTAATTCATTAAAATTACAATCCTCTGGGTTACTAATAAGGAGCATGGATTGGAAATAAATAGTAAGGCTGAAAATTGTAAAAAAAATAGCACCTGAAATTAGCATAAAAAATGTTGACAATATTTCATCTCATTCAAAAAGATAGTACTCTTACTATGAATGGTTGATAAAAAAAATATTCTCAGCCCAACCAAGAATCCCTCCCCCACCAAAAAATATTTCTACTTTGGTCCAAACTTGAGAAGTGGGTTCAGGGCTGAGGACTTTACATCTGATAGTTCTTTTGATAGTTCACAAAACTAGCTTGTTAACCAGAATCCTATGACAGTCATTCATTATGAGATACATGCAAATAAAATCAGATTAACACAGAATATAGTTTTTGATAGTGTGATTGAAACTTTTAATTCTTTTTTAATCTTTCAATGCGTACACACACACGAAAAAAAAGATATAGAGGGTTTTTTTTCTGTTTTTTCAATTGTATGATTAATTTGAGGGTATAGTTAAAATGACTTTTGATTTGATCATCACAATCTAGTGTTTTCTCAGCTACTTGAATATATTTTTCATTTTTTAAAACATTTTTTTAAAAAAATGTAGAGAATATTAATTTTCTTAAAATTACAATTAGCACTGCATCATAGCCAGTTAATTCACCAAGCTTCTTCAGGCTACATTTTTTGTGCTCAAGTGAGTAGCATGATTCTTTGTCTCTCAGTTTTGGTAATACCTTTCACTGGACAAAGCAAAGAATTTCTGGAATGAGATGAGAGATTTTTTTCATTCAGTGCTTTTGAAGATAACCAGTTACAACAAATCAGCTGAGAAAAAGTGGACAGTGCATTAAGTGAAATAAAGTATTCAAAGCAACAAAGTTGAGGACATTAGTCAAAATAATGAATCAAATAACTCAGAATATGATGCATCAGTCAAAAGGACTTGTATCTTTACAGTTTGTTTTTTTAATACTTTCATGATAATCATTTATATCAGTAAATCTGTTATAATTGTTCAATAATTCTTCAAAGGAGAAAAACTTTATCAGCTGAAGCATTTGCAAAACCCTTTTCTCTGGATATTTGGAACCCCTTAAAGTGTCTTTTAAACAAACACTTAATGCTTTCCTTTATAAACTTTATTAAAATATTTATTTTTTACAAGTTGGACATGTAAAAATTAAACAAGAGTTTATAACTAAACTTTTCCAATTATCTCATGTCTCTACTATTCTTGCAACTTTTTCCTTCATCTCCTCATTCTTTCTATGATTTTTTCTGATTTTCATTATCCACCCAAATTTGTCTGTAAATGTTATGCAAACATAAATGAGTTTCATATGCAAAAGCAAATAAGGAATGCACCAGTATTGTCTTGTATCCTGTTTCCTCTCTTTTGCTTTATCTCTTTATAAAAATCTTAAGGTATCACAATTTTTACACCTTTCCATCCTCTTGTCAGCATTCCCCTCTCTTTTTATTATTATTATTATTTTATATTATATATATATATATAAAATCATCTACAGACAGAGACAGACTGTTTCACTGCATCACAAAATCACTGACCTGATTCTCTTCTCATATTTCTCTTGCTTTCTGATATTCTACCTTTCCTTCATCACACTCTTTCTCTCCCTCCTCTCCTTCTCTATTCCCAGGCAGAATAATAGTACAAGGAGGAGGGCATGCTGAAAAGATCCCAGTCGAATCTATTCCCCAATGTTTGACTAAATGATCAAACATCAAATTTCTATTTCTTTTAAGGAGGGCTTCTTGAACTTTTTCAGTAGCAACGGCAACATCCTTACTCATACAAATTGAAAGAAGTGTTTAACTTTCAGGTAACTAAGATTGGCATTAACAAAATATGACATTTTGAAGGATAGCATGTATGTATGTAAGAGAGAGGACTTGTTTGATGGCGGAGCGAGTTGCATATTTTCTGCCAACACCAAATGTCAGTGTTAAACCCAGACAAAATGCCAAGATTTAGAATATAGATCTTCAAAGGAGACTTTATTTGAAATTGGAGCATCACAATCTTCATATTCTCTATATAGAAACTTAATAAATATCTTGGAATGAAAAAGACACACACAACTGTATAAATATATGCACTTGGGTAGTGATGTTTACAATGTTATCGTTAGAAAGTTTGATCCACACTGTGTGCCCCAGGCTTAAAAGCCTGTTTCTGGTTTTGTTTCAACTCATGTGATAATGCAGGAGGGAATTCACAGATTGATCAGTCTGTTCCTCTATCAAATAACCCAGCATTTCCCATGTCTTGCTAACCATTTCACACATCTCTTGAAATTACCCCACCATAGTATAATTTTTTTTCTTTGAAAAGCTTTTTTGTGGTCTTAAGTTCCTTAAAATTTTTGTTTAACATGTCATAGAATCATCATTGCAGGGATTAAGACTAACTTCTTCACTTTTTTCAAATGTTCACAGATTCTACACACCAACAACTTTCGTTAATATTTCTCTGGAACTGCTGAAAAACATTTATTCTTGTTCAATATTTAGGTAAATGAGATAACTAGATATTAGCAACCGTATACGCGTGTGTTGGTGTGCACATGCTGGTAAGCAAATAAATCACCAAATTTAGCCAAGAGTTGTAGACATAATAGTGCTCAATGTGATTAGACAGTGCTAAGAAATATGTTAATAAATACACATATAGCTATGTTTGATGTGCGACTCAAATTTCGTTGGTTACCCAACACATTGGGCATGAGATATCACTTATTGTTTATTTTAAAAAGTACTTCTTAAAATAATCAATAACCAATATCTCGTGCCCAATGAGTTGGGTAACCAACGAAATTCAAGCCTGACATCAAACGTAGGTGTATGTGTATTTATTTATATATATATATGTGTGTGTGTGTGTGTGTGTGTGTGTGTGTATGTATGTAGGTAGGTAGGTATATGTAATCTTCAACAGTTAACAAGAAATAATATATATAAATGAAAAAGAAAAAACACTTTAAAATCAATAAAAAAAAAAACAATTTAAAAGTCTTCAATAGTTGCCTTATACACTTAAGAATAGCTGCAGAAGGAAACAGCCAATATCAGGAATTCAAAATTAAACCATTAAAGCTGCCAGTTTGCATAAACTATGGAAACTTGCCTTCCTGTTATTCTGCTTAGAATTTCATCAATTCAATTTTTTAGGCTGTTCATATTTAAAGAATTAAAAAATGAAACTTGAAATTCAGAAGAGAAAAGGAAACTGGGAAAGAACAGATCAACCCAAAGAGAAAACTTTATTCAGAAAAGTAATATTTGGGATTTTTCTTTTTGTATTTTAAAAATTTGTTTGTTATTTTTTAAATATAAGAAAAAACTTCCAAGTAGTGGAGTTGGACTTGAAAAATAGATAACTTTTTTTTTCTACAAACAGGAAGAGGTGAAAACAGAGGATGGGGAGATAAGATAAATGGTATGGGATGGAAAGAAAAATACAAATATTATGACATATTTAAATAAAATTATAAAAAGATCTAAACTATAATATTTTTAAGTTATTTCCAATTCTTTCCTCCCTTTCCACAAAATATTGGAAACAAAGGAACAAGTGTAAACATCAGCCACTCAAAATGTCAGTCTTCCCTTGGATTTATTTAGTTGAAAAGATAAACTATTTTATATTATAAACATTCATCAAAGAAGAAAGAATAAGTTCATGTGGTTTGTTTTTGGTTTGTTCGTTTTTTTTTTTTATTAAAAACAAAAGCCAAAACAAATGATGTTTGTTGATGTCCATTTGAAGACAATTGACATCAGCCAAAACTTCGAGATCTGAAAAAAAGTGTTGGCCACAAAGTTGATCATTAAATGACAAGTGTCAAAGAAAGAAAATTGGCTTTGAGATTAATAAACCAATGTGGAAAGAGAATTAATGTCTGGAATGTCCTTAATCCTGCTATACTATTTCCACAACAGAATTCCAGAGGTCAAGGATCAACAGCCAAAAACTGTCTGTCTGTGCAGTTTTTTGTTACAACTGAACCAAAACAAATTTTCATTTTTATAAAAAAAAAATAAAAAAAAATTATAATTACAAATTGGGCATAGAAATTTAATTCAATAACCAAAATGTTGATTTTTTTTTTCTTTAAATTATTTTTTAAAGAGTAGAGATATTTTGTTGCTCCCTTCTTTCTCAAGTGATCAAAACCAACCATCCTTTCAGTTTGAAATCAGACAGATATCTGTTTAAATAGAAAGGGGAAATGAGAGTAAAGGAAGGAAGGAAAGAAGGTCACATGTCTACCAGAGCAGATTTTGATTGATCAATCCAGTTCTTCTGTGGTAACCTCAAGTCCACTACTACCCATAGCCGAATCAAGATCAGAATCATCACCACTGAACAAACTTTGAAGTATATTCCCTGAAACAACAACAATAAAATGCAAAGATTAGGAAAAATAGAAATTGTATTTTCTAACATGAATCTGAAAAAGAGTCAAATCACTTTTTTTCTTTTACAAATTTTTACATGTATGTTTGTTGACATTATCAAAAAATACAAAAATTAATATTGCAGTTAACCATTTATCTACAAGGAAATAAAAAATAAATCAATCATTTGAAAGAAAGATTAGAAACTTCTATGCATGACTAAGTTTTCAATTATAAATTTAAGGAAGCTAGAAGCACCTCTCAACTTTTCAAACAATTAGCAGAAACTGTTCAGTATATAAAACGAACAATTCACCATGTCGATTATTACCAACGCTTGTACTAAGTGTGTGGTTTGGAGAAGAAATGTAAGAACAAGGGAGACTATTACGTTTGACCTAAGTTACCAGTTATAATATGAATTGCCTCCCATTAATCCCAATCCAAAATTTTTAGGTTTGAATTTGCTTCAAAGAAAACAATATTAGATTAAGATTGGAACAAATTGAATAGCTACTTTCGTGCTACATTAGTACAATCAGTTCTTTCGAATAGTCCTCTTCTGTTTTATGCATACATCTATACATCATTTAAAAACTCTACATTTCCACTTTCGGAGACTGTTTGAATTTTATATATATATATATATATATATATATGAAAGAAAAATACTGAAAAAAACAAAATTCTGAATATGCATTATTAATGTTAAAATAAAGTCGACGTCGGACGTTTCGGTCTATTTAAGACCATCTTCATGGACATTTTCATTTAAACATAATTAACATTATAACTTATAACAATTTAACACAAAAGACGATGGACATAAGAGCCCAACTAATTCAGACAGATAACTGAAATTTTATACAGATCAGCGTTCTGTTTAAATATGATCACGTAGTCATCACGTGGGCGATGTTGTTAAGACGTATTCGAAGATGATTTCCAAAAATTAAAAAATATCAAAAAGTCGAATGAAAAATTTTTATAAACAATTAAAGAAATCTCTTCCGTTGATGTTGGAATACGTAGTGATCAATGGTTCTTATATCTTCAACAAGCTTGAAAGTCTTTCCCGTTACAATGCAAATCCAAAAGTGATTTTAAAAACGATGGAACAGTTCTAAAAAACAGTTCGATAAAAATTCCATTCTTTACTTGATCAATAGATTCCCTCGTCCAAGCTTGAAATCTTCCATGTTATAAAGTAAATTCAGGTTTGTATATTTTCAGTAGACAGTATGTAAGCAAATATATGGATATAAATCCGACAGTATGAAAGAAAAATACTGAAAAAAACAAAATTCTGAATATTATTTTAATGTTAAAATAAAAAAGTCGACTTTATTTTAGAATTTTGTTTTTTTTCAGTATTTTTCTTTCATACTGTCGGATCTGTATAAAATTTCAGTTATCTGTCTGAATTAGTTGGGCTCTTATGTCCATCATCTTTTGTGTTAAATTGTTATAAGTTATAATGTTAATTATGTTTAAATGAAAATGTCCATGAAGATGGTCTTAAATAGACCGAAACGTCCGACGTCGACTTTATTTTAACATTAATAATGCATATTCAGAATTTTGTTTTTTTCAGTATTTTTCTTTCATACTGTCGGATTTATATCCATATATTTGCTTATATATATATATATATATATATATATATATATATATATATATATATTCAAACAATCTTCAAAAGTGGAAATATATATATATATATATAAAATAGATAGGTTGGTTAATAAAACAAGAGAAAACGAAAAGGTACAAATGTGATCAGTGCAAAAAGAATTTATTACATATTAATTGTTAATCACAAGAGAGAAATGAAGCACAGAGATTAATGTTATTAGTCCGGAAATTTAGACACGCCTGTGTCCTTCATCAGTGTGAGAAATAAACAGAAAAACAGGGAAAAGTCACCAAAAGTCAGGGAAAAGTCACTAACTCGTTGTACATGGTATTATTAGTATAAATCCAATCCCTGCTTTATTCCTCGCCTGCAAAACTTTTTTTTGAAAGTGATCTGAATGAATGCATTAGTCGGTTTTGTCTTTTGGGAATGTCATCTGCAACAAACCCCAATGTCTGGTCTGCAAATACATCAAAACTCAAAACACCTACACACCCCACTCCCGGTACTCACATACTATTTAGACCACCTGCTCTAAGCTGCGACAAATGCAAGAAGACCACCTACTCATTTAGACCATGTACTCTTCTGCCACAAATGCAAGAAGGGGAATTACGTGGCAGAAACCGGAACTGAGTTCCAATTACGGTTCAATAACCACAAGAAGAGCAACAGGGACAACAACAACAATTTCCTGGTAGCCGTACACTTCAACAAACCTGGTCACAGCATCGACAACGTCAGGTGTCTCCGTTTGACAGCCAGGAAAATAGATTCAGGTCAGAGTTGAAATACATTCTGAAAATAAACTCCCATATAAAAGGTCTAAACAGAGATTTGGGTTTACTCAAAGAGTATACCTTCCACAAGGAAACCCATTACCAGCAACACCACTCCATGAATGAGTAACCCTCCCCCACCATTTATAATCAAAATTTTAACAGACATTTCCCCCCCACTATGTTTTTCTGCTCTGACCCCTAGGATTTCAAAATTTTATAAGATAGTTAGGGTATATTTACACTTATCACACTTAAACACACAAAGCATCTATTTTTGCATACACCTTTCGCCTCTTTCCTGCACTGTTATTACTACAATTACATTTCTATCTGTTTATTTTTTCTGCACCCCCATTTTCTGACTATAGTTTTTGAAAAAAATTTTTATCAAAATATTTTATCCTTTTTTTGTGGTTCCTATCCTCTTTTTTTCCCCTTTCATTTTATTTTTATTACCTTCTTGCCCTCTCTACACATCTAGTCAAATCCATCAACACTGACCACATAAGGGACGTCTTCCCCACCCCGAATCCTAAAAGCTTTTTCCCCTAGTTCAAAATCAAGCTCCCCCCCACCTTCCACACCAATAAAGACAAAACTGACTAATGCATTCACCCCAATCTGTTTTTAAAAAAAAGTTTTGCGGGCGAGAAATAAAGCAGGGACTGGATTTGTACTAATAATACCATCTACGAGTTCACACCAGCCAAAAAAAAAAAAAAAAAAAAAAAAAAACTGTTGGTGACACTTCCCGGTTTTCCTGTTTATTTCTCACGCTGCTGATGAAGGACACAGGCTTGCCTGAAAATTCCGGACTTAGAACCTTAATTTCCGTGCTTCATTTCTGTCTTGTGATTAACAATTAATATATAATAAATTCTTTTCGCACTGATCACATTTGTACCTTTTCGTTTTCCCTTGTTTTATTAACCAACCTATTATTTTAAATACAAGCAGCACATGTGGACTCTTCCTCTAAATATATATATATATGTGTGTGTGTGTGTGTGTGTGTGTGTGTATATGTTTTTATATATGTATATATATATATATATATATATATAATAATGGACTCTCCTGTCGGTTTCGACGTATGAGGATCTGACAGCTTATTGATTCAGTTTATGAAATTTTGTGCAATAATCTTAAGTGGCATTTAAGAAATCAAGGTAAACCGCCAGAAAACCCACACAAGTGATTTGATTAAAGTGGTGAAGGCTTGTGCAGAACCATCCACACTTTTTGGAACTATTGATACACTTAGTCAGGCTTTTCGTGTAAGAGTTTTCCATCTCCTAGACCAATTGTGTTCTATAACACTAAAGAGCTTGGTAAGCCCTGGTAGACACTATTTGCCCATAGTTGGGACCCTAACAGGTGCTACCATCCCGGGTCAGGGTGGACCTGAGAACAACAGCAATTAAAAGGTGGTTCCACACTCCTCAAATCCTCCAATCTCCTAATGAGAAGACTTGCTGCCGGATGTAGTTTACCATCATACCCAGGACATTACATGAGAGATTTAGAGGATGGGTGAAGACCAGTGCTGCCTGTTACCCTTAAAAATAAGGTACAGTAGATGAGCAACAAAGCTACTACTTCTACCCAATGCTCCCTAAATACATAAAATTTTTTATATATATATATATATATATATATATATATATATATATATATATGTGTGTGTGTGTGTGTATATGCATATATGTGTGTGTGTGTGTGTATATATATATATATATATATATGTGTGTGTGTGTGTGTGTGGATGTATGTTGTATATCTTCGTATATATATCTGTATATCTTAGTGTCTTGGAATGTATCATCAATATTAACTAAAATCTACTTTTGTTTGATAATGGTTTCATAATTGCTTGTAGACTTAATAATCAACAGTTGTGTCCCGTTACATTTTAATCTTGTATGGACTTTACAGTCCTTTATCGTCACTAAGATAATATTGTTAGAATATGTGTAGGTTTATGCGTGTGTATATATATGTGTGTGTGTTTATGTATGCATATGTATGTTTTTATATATATGCATATGTTTGTATCTGTGTATATATGTATATTTATATGTTTCTGTATGTATGTGTGTGTGTATGTGTGTATATATATATATATATATATATATACACACATATAGTTTATTTACTTTTTTATGTTGCTGTATAGGTTGATATATTTATATTTTGTTCTATGTGTATGTATGCACATGCGTATGGGTGTATGTATGTAGGTGTGTGTATATATATATATATATATATATATATATATATGAGTATGCATATGTTTGTGCATAGGTATATTTTTGTACGTTTCTATCTGTAGTGAAGAATGTGTGTACACATGTCTATATATATTTTTTATTTTCTTTCACATATTGTTAGATATTTGTTCTCGTGTATGTGTAATAATACGTATATAAATATATATGAGATATTTATATATATTTATGTGTTTTGGAGTTTTCTTTTTTATATATTAAATGGTGTTATTTTTATGCATATATATTTATTTTTCTATCCATTCTGTATAATGTCCTTTTACCTTATGTTGTTCATTGACAAATATTTGTTTTTCTATTCTACCCATATTAAACTTTATCTATTCAACCATTTTTATCTATATATCTTTGCCCATATAAGTTATATTTTAATAGTATGTTAGAATTCGTTTACTAACACTTTCAAATTTGAATATTTCTTGGTGGGTATATGTGCATGTCTTTATCAATGTATGTGTGTATAATCGATTATATGTGCCTTTCATTATATGTATATGTTGACATTTTTTTTTTTTTTTTTTTTTTTAAGGGTCATGGACATATTTCCTGTCTCATCTCTTTTTTGCATGTTTATATATCTAAATATGTCTGCATATTTGTGTATTATAATCTGATTGTGTATGTATTGTCTTTTGCAAGATTTCACCCTCCCTTGCCCATATCTTAACTTCAAATGTATCTAAGTTGTAAGGGAGTTTGGAGCAACATTAGATCTTAACGTTTATCCCAACTTAATTTCAATAAAAACAAAATAAATAACAAAACATATGTATTTTTTCCTCAGTTTCTTCTTTAAATAATTTTAATCTTACTATAGATTAAATTTAAAATTGGTAATTTTTAATTTTGTATTTTATAGTATAATTTAATATTAATTAGTTAGAATGAATTCTATTTTAGTCTAACCCTAGCATTAAATAATTATTATAACCAAAGTTCGTTGTCAAGTTTTTTGAATTCTTATATACTTGTATTTTGATTGGTCATTTCAGCTTATGTAACAGCGTTTCCCCTAGCGAGGAGTGTTTGATTGATTCAAACCTTTTAAAATCCTTTATTCTACATTTCAACACCATCACTTGATAAGACACCAGAAGTGTTGAAACAAAATGGCTACTTTTGTAATGATTTTATAACATATTTATGTTATAATTTTCAAATAAATAAATATATATATATATATGTATGTTTGTCTGATGATCACAAAAGTGTGAAACCCAGGGTCACCAACTCATATCCATACAACTGAACATTATATATATATATATATATATATATATATATATATATATATATATATGACACACTAGCTGAATTACCCATGCCTTGATGCATGTCATACATTTTTTTTTGTAAGAAAATGATGATTGCTTTTAAATAATTGTTATAATTTGTGGAGAAAAATTACGCATTTCAATATTACTCAATGATCTCAATATGGCCTCAAATCTTCTGGCTTTTTCCTATATTTTGGATAGGATTCATTCCCCTGTTCAAATTTAAATTTAATTTAAATCAAAAGAAAAGAAAAAAAAATTCAGTTGGGGGGCAGGTCCCCCCTTAGATCAGAATGAATTATACTTATCTAATTACCCTGGGTAATGTAGTATCAGAATATATATGGTTATGGGAGTCTATCTCCAAAACCTTTTTTTTTGTTTTAAATGTTATAAGCCTACCACTATTTTTAATATAAATTATAATAGTTCTTTTTTTTTTTTTTTAAGTTGATTACATATGTGTCAAAATCTTAACCAAGGAAGGATCCAGACAGATTTTGAATTTACTTAAAATCTTTTTTCAAATGTATTCTCAACTGCCAATTTAATGTAACGATTTCTGTCTACAATCCAGATGTCATTTTAGGTCATCACAAGTATTAATATAACTGAGACCGTTTTCTTTTCCCCCTGCCTACATGATGATAACTTAATATCTTTCTTTCCCCTACTCTCTATATAAAATCACTATTCTTAATTTTTAAACTTAAAGTAATTTTTCCATCTTCATTTGGTTTACAGGTCTGAGGATTTGAAGCATGGCATATTTTATCGGCTTCAATGAAATAAAATATCACCTATGGTTTTTTAAGTGTTTGTTTGTCATTATATATATATATATATATATATATATATATAGACAGAGAGAGAGATTTACCAAATATGAATAAATATTATTCTCATGTCATATTCAAGGAGTTCAAACCAAACTATTGCACTGCTGAAGTCACTTGCAACATCAACAGTGCTTTGTTTTTAGCAATCTGGAACATAATCCCAAGACATCATTCAACAATGACAAATTGAAGGCAATTGTGGAGGCTTATTCAAAAACAAACTCAGGCATTGGGATTTTGGTTTAATCCATACAGCTGATAGTATCACATACAAATCTAAATGCTCTAATTTGAATTTTGATTAGCAGTTTGGTTTGAGATTTACTGCAATTTACTTTCTTTTTTTTTTCTTGGTTATGTGCATAATGTTAATGAAAGGAGTTTTCTATATAATCAGAAATGTGGCTTTCTTTGGGCCAGCAACTTTGCTTCCCTCCCAACTTTCCCTAAACCAAATCTTCATCTCCAAATTATCCTACTGTTTGGTGATGGTGTTTAATTAATTCCTCTATTACAACATTTTGCAATTTGGTTAAAGTATCATGGAAAAGTTCAATTACCATGATCAGGAATTAATATAAGTTGCAAACTATTTGACCAGCAAAAAATCAATTGGCTAAAACTAATGCAGTGAAACAATGAGGTCCTCTTCCATCCTTTCTATTCACCAGATCTGACCCTTACCAATTACCTATTTTTATGGTCTTTATATGGTTAAAATACCATCGGTAGTTTTTTTATCCTGATAGAATAAAGTCACTGTCAGATCATTTAGCAACATTGTTGATGCTAATGATTCATACTTTAAAACACTATTTTGTTCAAATATGATATAACAATAACATACTTTGTAATTTACTGGTTTGAAAGGTTTGCCAAATGTAATAAGAACAGTTTAAATTAACAGTGATCTGTCATAGTGGTAGTAGTAGAAAAAAACAGAACACAAACTCACTGTGTTGTGGTTAATAATCCTCAATATATTCAGATACGGAACAGAGAAAAAATACAAGTTGAATAAAGCATAAAGTTTTCTTGTTTTAAAAGATGTGACACTTCTATCAGAGTGAGTTTCAATGTCCTTTCATGGCAGACTGTTGAAAAGAAGGGCCAATATGCAAATTGCTTTTGAATGCTTTACTCATCCCATTTATGTGTGTGTTCTCTGACCAAATTCAAATATGTAAAATGTACTTACCTGGTTACACAAGTTGTACTGTGTTCTCCTTTAATCACGTCATGTTAATGAAGTTTTGAAACATGTCCTATGATTATGTTAGTCATTATTGTATTTTTTCTCAAGCCAAACTGCAGAATTGTTCAAATTAAGTTGTAACTTTCAGCATTAACACTTATTTCTCAGAAAAAAAATCTTTGTAATTTTGCTTGACAAGTGTTTCTTTCCCTTAATTCTAAATCCTTCAAGTCAAAGAGGCATCCCATGAAATCAATCATCTTTCTATAACAGACACTGAGTCTCAAAAGAGTAACCTTTTACTTTAGTTATAGATAAACGTTAAGCAATGAAAGATTTAAGGTACACACTTTAATATTTTAATTTGTAAGTCCTATACAATTCAGAAATTTTTTTGTGTTAAATTCTAGAAACTTAAAAATTCTAGGCAGTTTCTGCATCTCAAGTAAAAATATACAAAAAAAGATTTGAACTAAGTAAAAATACAATGAAACATATCTTACAAGAATTTGCTTTGGAGCAATGTTTAACATATGTTTAACATATTAATCTTAAAGATCATTACTAATGTAGTGGATTTGATCTTCCCTCGGTGCCACACACTTATTCCAGATTAAGCTAAACATAGGAAATAGCTATAGGATAATATCTTACAACAAGGTAAGAAAGAGGTAGTAACTGAAGGGGACAAGTAGAGATTTGCAGTTATAAATTATCAACTTACCAAACATTCCATGGGGTGAATGCTTAGGTGGCGGTAGTCCAAAGAAAAGTTGACCTATTCTATCAAGATACTATTAGGAAAATAAAAAGAAAGAACATTAAAAGCCAAATAATCAGAACAAAAAGACCAATATGAAAAAGAATCTTAAAAAAAAAAAAAAAAAAAAAAAAACATTTTCAGTTCCATAAAAAAAGATTAAAACTAAGGAGGACGGTACTTGACAGCAATTTCCCGTTTTTCTTATATAAAATGACATAATATTGCAATTACATTATCTGTGAGACTTCCAAGTAACAAAGAGAAATCAGACATTCTTCATTGTGATTCCACAAGAAATAAAATATAGGTATATTTAAAGTTATTGCAAGTTCAGTTCCAGACCAGTGCAATAAAACAAATATCACAATCAAATGAATCATATGAATTTTTTCACAGTACATATACATATTATTATGCTTACACTTTAGTGTCATCTATTAAGTATGCTACATCATTAAGTTAAAGAAAAATGTACATACTTTAATTAAAAATACTTTATTACTATTAAAATATGACAAACTTGCAATTAGCAAAATGGTGCCAATCAACTTGCTCAGAATAAGGTTGTCAAAAAATAATCAATTTGTAGCACAATAAAATCTTTAAAAACAAAGAATAGATTTTTGATTGTGTCATATTAAAATCTGTTTTTAAAACACCTAAATAAATCTAAAATTATGTTGGAAATTACAATTCTACAAAATACCTTGAGAATCTCTTTCTTTACTATATCAAAATTACGAGGACAATTTCAACATTTCATTTTGTAACTAGCAAAGTTAATCAAGTTTACAATTCAAGGAAGATAACTCGTGGCTGAATTGTTAACAAGATGCAATTAAATGAATATATACGATCAAAATTCAGATTTTCTTTCTTAAGGAAAAACAAAATTAAAAAAAATAAAAGCAAGACAAAAAATAATCAAAGCAGATAGTTGCTGTATATTTCCATAACTGTAACTCATGGCACAAAGTTAATGAACCATTGGTATCCATCTTTTCTACATTTTGATATTTGATTATAAGAAATCATTGTAAAAAGAAAAATACAAAGAATGTATTATGTTTGTGTTTATGAATAATTGACAAAAACGACTAAAAGTTAAAGCTTACTTCTATACAAATAGACTTTGTAAACAAGTTATAATTGGTATTCAAGGCTTAAAAAAATAATGGTCAAGAATTTACAAGAAATGAAACGAAATCTATTTTGCTACTGACCCAGTAAGAGGATTTTAAATCTCGCAACAATTAAAACAAAATCTAAAAATTAAAGAAATCAATTTACCTCTTTGTATGTGGGGTCTCTGTTTATTGAGGTTTCATACTTTTCACATAATACAGTGAAAACACTAACTTTACCACTGAAAATTTAAAACAGAAAAATATAAAATAATAAAAGATAGGTATGTTTTTGTAAAAAAAGTCATAGGTTACACAATCACTTCAACAATTAACATTTCCAATGTAAGATCAAATTGTGAAAACCCTCAGAAAGAATGAACATGCAAGAGAGAAAAAAAGTTAAAAATCAATGCCAACTAGCAATATTTCAACCAGTAACTTTCTATTTCCAACACACAAAGGAAAATAAATAAAAATAACTTTAGTATATTTAAAAATACTGTTAACATGAGTTGTCAGTGTCATAAAATTTTCATTGTTATGAGTTTTCTTAGTGTAATGTGAAGTAGTTAATATTATTTGTAAAATAAAATTTTACAAGGTGTCATACACTAGGCTAGTGGATTAAAGTGTTGGTTTGTAAATTTGGTGACATACTCCAAGTTCAATCCTTGGACTGGGGGTGTGTACTTGGCCTCAGTTGAAACAGGGCAATCAATAACTAAGCAGTACTAAATAGGAACTAGACAAGATATCCCTGGATATGAGTAGTGCAATGCAAACAATCTACACCCATAGTTTAAATAATGAGTTCAGTTTGAAATTCCCTGCAGGTTACCTGAATCAACAAGCACCTGATGAAGGCTGGAGGGCACAACAAACAAAACACTGTGATAACAAAGAGGAGCACAACAGTCAGTTTTGTCTTTCCTTTTGTGATGCCAAAGGTGAGATTCAAAATACACAGATATGGATCAATTTTTCAGCTGCAAGACTGACAGTTCAAAAAAAGGTTCTATGCAGACAATTCTTATAGATTTCAAAATGAAAACTTAATTCTATTTCTAAAAAGCAATAAAACTGGTTTTAAGCTGATATATCTTTTTGTTAACTCTCAAACCTGTGAACAAAAGATTGGAAATGAATCATTGATTCTATTCATAGAAGTACTGAATCCAAACACTAGCTGATATATGATCCATTCTCCATGGCTTCAAAATTGTTTGGCCTGACAATCAGTTTCAGCTAGAGTTAAATGCTTTATCAACCTGCACCAAACACCAACCTTCCCTGCACCAGCTATCAGCATATGACACCCAGCTTGCAAATGTTAATACATTTCAAATACAGGAGTAGTATGATTTACCAGGATGGTTCTCTGGGCAAAGAAATTGATACTCAAAATAGGCACTGAGAAGGCTCCTTAACAAAGTGCTATGCTAGCACAACATATGCCTGTCAACAAAACTAAAAGTGTCCCACGTAATGGTCCTCCCTTCACTCCTCTACAGATGCAAAACATGGACCTTATACTGCAGACTCATCAAGAAATTGGAAAGGTTTCATATGTGTGCTCTTCAATTCATACTTGGAATTATGTTACAGGATCACATCACCAACATTGAAATTTTGGACCATGGGAACTTGACCAATATTGAATCAATGCTCATTAAGGCACAAGTCGTATAGACTGGCCACGTCATCCGCATGTAGCAACATTATATTCCCAGATTATGTTGCACAGAGAGCTGCAAACTATCAGAAGACATCAAGGCCAAACAAACAGCACAAAGACACAATCAAAACTAACCTTCAATGTTGCAAGATCAGACCAAGGAAGCTACAGGAATGTGCAGCCAACCAATCACATTAGTGCATCATTATCCACCAAACCTAGACAAACTTCAAAGCTTGGCATTAAAAAAAAAAAAAAAAAAAAAAAAAAAAAAATCACTATTCAAAGAGGACAATGTGACCATGCAACTTTGGCATTGATCACAACCACCAACTTATAGTGTCCCCATTGATTCAGACACTGCACGTCCAGACTTGGATCTACTGATGAATTGCAAGACAAAATCTTCTTTGGATCCAAAGGACAATTATGATATGAATACCACATGCAAACATGGAAATATCTAATAAAACCCTTGTCTCTTTGTGGGTTTTCTGTTATGCTAAAAGAAACAGAATGGGAGTACTAGTAATCTATTGTGTTTGTGTTCACTGAAAGTAAGAAACTGTTGCTGGTAAAAAAATCATTACAACCTACTACTGATGATGCTGACTGCTTTGTTGCCATATTGTTTTAAAATTATTAAAAAGTTGAAAAAAATGAGTTAGAGAAAATGAACAGAAAAATACATTTCATTCAATGTATTTGTTTGCTATATATATATATATATATATATATATATATATATATATATATATATATATGCAGGTAGTGTTCAAGCATGGAACAAACTGTTGCCATTTGGTGTTAACTTCAGCGTCCATTTTTATATTTATATACACCCTATCCCTGATATTGAATACTTTTATGCATAAATCTAGTATGCCTTAAAACTATGTTTTTTAATCATATATATATATGATCCATACATGAATATAATAACGTTAATTATTTTTAATGAATACTAAGCTAACTTAGGAGATGAGGGCATAGAGTTGGGGTTATTGGTGCAGAAAGTGGGCTTGGTATTCTATGTTCAAATGCCATCCAAGGCTGCTACATTCTCTTTCACACAAATAACCTTGGAAAGGTATGAATCTCTCTTCCAAGCTAGGGGTTAATAGCTGGGCAGATTGAGCCTTCTATCCTTGGTTGGCAACCAGTCTAGAAGACAGCTCTGAATTCAAACCTGGTAGGGTGTGGGGGTAGCAATCTGCTCCATAAAAACCTACTTGCTACAGAAACCCCAGCAACAAAACATGTGACCCCTAGAGTTCACAGAGAAGTCTACAGAACAAATACATGTGCTAGTTTAAGATAATTTTTTTTAAGTCTGTAGAATTGGCAATACTTACGTTTCCAGTGCCAATAGAAGAAACCATATGAAATTGAGTAATGGTTTAAAAAAGGGAGGATCTTCTTTGAGATCTGGATGTTCTTTGGTGTACTTCATGAAGACAACATTGGCAGTATCTTTATTTTGGAGGCACAAGAACCTGAAATAAAATGGAAAGCAGAAATGGTACCATTTATTCTTTTATAAAACTAAGATTGGCATGTTAGTAGGAAGAATCAGAAGGATAAGTCAAGTATAAAATTGAAAGACTATGCTTCAAATTCAAGCAATTATTTTTTTCAACATTACTTATGTAAATAGAATTTCATCAATCTCAAATATGAGTTGTGATAGAGCACAACCAAAAAAGAAATTTACATCAATAAAGATATAAAATTTATATAAAATCAGGTTGTTAGTAATATTGTAAGTGTAATATAGTCACCACATGACAAAATGGCAGTAACAATGAAATTAAAAAGCAATAAAAATTATTTTAGAAAATTGAAGGATTTGCAAATATTTATTTCCATTTATTACAAAACTATATGCATTATAGCAGTAAATACACTGCACTAAAATAAGTTAAAATACAGTAACACATCTTTATTCGAAAATACAAAACATGGAGTTGGTTGAAAATTCTAGCTACTTTGACAAAAGAAGATATTTTTTATTTTGTGATAATATGAAATATGGTGTTAAATCCCCAATGGAGACTAGTGAAAGACTTTTCATTAAAAATGTTTAAAATAGTTGTTGGTCACACTTGAGGATAAAAAAACGAAGGGAAATTAGTGTGAATTATGATTTATGCATATAGTAATGGATAAGCTTAAAAAAAATTAAAACTATTTAATTACAATAAATGGAATTAGTACCTGGAATTGTCTAAATTTGAACGCCTATCTTAACAGCATTTTAACTAGTTTAAGTCATTAGGATCAAGTAAAATAAAGAGTCACCGCTCATCACCCAAATTTGTCAAAAAAAAAAAAAAAAATAATGACAATTGATCTAAAACAGATGGATCTTGTAGGAGGAATCTTGGCCAAAATTCAATAGAATTTTGTTATTTTTCAATACAACTCTTCAATTCTGAATAGATTGTCTAGAAAGTCAAAAATTCACTTGACTACTTTTGTTGTATGACTGGAGAGTGAAATCATCAAACCCTTTTCCATGACCATGTTATGATGTGCACATGCAAAGCAATTTTGTAATTTGACAACTGAAAGAAATTGAAAGTCAAGATTCTATAAAATTGAGCAAAACCAAATTTTCCCCCCAAACTATCCACTTCCTTCTGATAAAAAGATATCATTAATGTGTTGTCCAAATTTCCTGGTCCTGAGACCCCAAATTTGGGGTTAGTTTACATTAATACTATCCACCTCAAAACACTTATATTCTTACAGAAAAAGAGGGACCTAAATTCTTAAGGAAAGGAAGTCATGTGGTTTATTAAGAGATTTCTGATAACCTGAGTTCCAGGTCTGTTAACGATTTGCTCAAAGGCTTATGTTCTTACAGAAAAAGAGTGGCCAAATTTTTTTTAAACAAAGGGAGCCACATGGTTTATGAAAAGATTTTCTAAAATAGGACAATCAAAAGTGGAAAAATTTGATACATTTTTTTTTTTTTTTTTTTGGAGTAGGGGTATATCAACAAAGACCCACAGGGCACAAACACAATTCTTCACCATTAAAAAAAAAAAAAATAAAGCAACTTCTAAATCTCGAAATTTTTTTCCTAATTTTTAATTTAGAAATTTTAAATTTTACCAAATTTCAACTCCACATAAAATCAATTAATCAATACAAGACTTTTCCTTTTGTTCTTCCAGTTCATAATAAAATTTAGAGAAAAAAACATGTATACATGTAAATTTTGCTTACTGCAACACAGCCTGGGCAATAAATAAATCCACTTCTGTAGGAAATCCTTGTGAGACATGATACTCTATAAGAAGTGCAGCGGTACTGGCACCATCAGTTGAGTGAAGAAAATGATACCTGGCTTGTGCATAGTTCTTCTCTGGAGAAAAAGAAGAAAAATATAACAAGAGTGTGTGTGTGTACATATATATATATATGTCAAATAAGTATAAGTTCTCAATCCCTCTTCTTTTCACTCAATGCGAGGCATTAAAATTTTCTGCTGATAAAGCTGAATATTTTGCCCATAAATTCTCCTTAAACTCTATCCTTGACTAATCTGGAGTATTCCTGCCTAACTTCCCACTTAGAACTGAGTCTCTGTTGAGTGATATGCATATAATCCCTTCTATGGTTTCTGCTATCATCTCCTACCTGGATCCCAACATAGCATGTAGACCAGATGGTATCCCTGTAATACTCATTAAGAAGTGTTCTCTCAAACTGGCTCCTGTTCTCTCTAAACAGTATAAGTATCTTGCTGCCTCTTGTTTTCCTGTCTGCTGGAAGTCCTCATCTGTTGTTCCAGTTTTTAAGAACTCTGATGAACCATCTGACTCTTCTAACTAGCAGCCTACCTGCCTTTAACTTCCTTTTGGGAAACTCCTAGAGGCCCTAATCAATGCTGAATTGGTTAAGCATCTCACATCACAGATACAAGTTTCATTTCTCCAGGTAAACTTCTGATGTACTGAAAGCAATTGTGAAAAGAGCCTATCAAACTCTAGATAAGAATGGTGAAGCCAGGGCTGTAGCTTTGGACATCTTGAAAGCTTTCAACAGACTTTGGCATACAGGTTTTCTCCACATGCTTAAAAGTTATGGTGTCTCCAGATAAATTTTTGAACTGATCCAATCCTTCCTATCAAATTGTGAAATGAAAGTAATCCTGAACAGCCATTCTTACAGTTCCTTTCATACTAATGCAGGTGTCCCTGAGGGCTCCATCCTTGTTCCTACTTTTAATTTTTATTAATAACCTTCCCGATGACTTCAGCTCTCAACTTGGTATCTATGCTGATGACACAACCATTTACTCCTGTCTCAAAAATAAGTCTGATCAGTTTCATAAGGTAAAAATGGCAGATGATATCCAAAATATCTGTTGCTAACTGGGGCAAACGATGACTTGTTAACTTTAACACCTCCAAAACTAAACTGTTCTCTATTAATAATCTGAGAGACTTCTTTCTGCTTTCCATCAGCACAGCTGATGCTGACCTCCAGGAGAATGACTTGTTGCACCTTCTCAGACTAACATTCTCAGCTGACATGAAGACTATATTGAATCCATTGTTAGGTCAGCTGCTCAGAAAGTTGGTTCATGCTAGACAATTTGTTTCTCTCCAGAATCTATTTTACATTCACCATTCATCCATGCTTAGAATATTACTGCCACATATGGTCCAGTGCTCCTACTATTTATCTGGAGCACCATGACAAAATTCCAAAGAAGAATCAGCAATATTATTGGCCCTGTTCTGACATTTCAGATTCAGTTTCTTTCCCACTGCCATAAGGTTACCTCCCTGTGCCTTTTCTATAAATACTTTCATGGAAATTTTTCAGATGAGATCATCACTATGGTGCCTAGAAAATACTGACCAGGAATTGACTTGTTTTTAACAATTTATCATTATGCAGATTTAACATAAAAATTATATATATGTCTACATCATCGCTTTCAGCTTTCTTCAAAAAGGGACCTTTCCGAACAACCTCCTTTATTTCTGAATGGATTCTCTCCAACATAGATAGTTTTGTCCTTCACAAAAATATCAACAAAATCAAATAGCCAGCCTTGGTTCATGCCTGAATGTGCTGTAGCCATGGTTCAATATAACCACAACAACCATCTCTATCAGAGGGAAAAGTGTAGCAGAACTATTGTCTCATTCAATATTGTGCACAGCTAGAGAATCCTGGAAAATGCAAAGAGCCCCTATATGTTTTTAAATAAATGCATCTAGAGAGTGATCACCTTAGTATCTTGAAGGCCCTTGAAAAGGTGTGGCATAGGGAATTGGTACACAAACTCTGCAGCTATGTAAGTTTTCTCAGTTATCAAGTCTTTCTAACCAGTCTATGAATGTCATTAACAGGCAGTCCTCTGAAGCATGAGATCAATGCTGACATCTCCCAAAGATCTCTCTTCAGGCATACTCTCTTTCTGCTTTATATTAACAATCTGCCTAAAAACATTCTCAGATCTTTGTGTGTGTGTGTGTGTGTGTGTGTGTGTGTGTATATATATATATATATATATATATATATATGCATCAGATTGCTAAGGCTACCAGTGCTTTTGGCAAACTTCACCATTGCTTGTGGAATGAGCGGGGTATTCGACTGGATAGGAAAATTCAGGTTTACAGAGCTGTTGTACTTGCCATCCTTTTGTATGGCTCAGTGTCGTGGACTCCATACAGGTACCATATACGCCAGCTAGATGTCTTCCATAAAAGCTGTCTGCGTGCAATCTGTGGAATTAAGCTTCAAGATAGGACATCTAACGTAGACCTGTTTAACAGGTGTAATATTGGAAGAATCGAGACTTTTATCATACAGTCTCAGTTACGGTGGACTGGTCATGTCTTGAGAATGTCTGATGACAGGATACCCAAGATCCTAATGTACAACCAGTTAGATCAGGGCTACTGGAATGTAGGACACCCATGGCTAAGATACAAAGACAAGCTGAAAAGCAACTTGTCAGCAGTCAATATACCATATAACACCCTTGAGCGCTTAGCCTTGGAGCGGGTAGAATGGAGATCAACGTGTTTTAGTGGACTCAGCAATTTTCCATCTGCTTGTTTGAATCATCTTCAAGAAGCAAGAGCTAAAAGGTCAGCCAATCTAACAGTGATCTCATCTCACAATCCTCACACTTGTTCCATATGTGGCCTCCTTTGTAAATCACTAGTGGGTCTTAAATGCCACTTAAGATTATCACACAAAATTTCATAACTGAATCAATAAGCTGTCAGATCTTGAGAGTCCATTATTATTATTATATATATATTGTTTTTGAAACATGAGAACTCTTATGTAGCAATGGAATCATATTTTAAAATAATAATTATAATTTAGGCTCTACTTGTGTATTGAACACTGTTTTTAAAAATAAAAACGAAAATACGAAAGAACTTCGGATTATTAACCTAATCGTTATTTCCTATATATTTACACACACACACACACACAGATATATATATATATGTATACATACATACATACATACATACACACACACACACGTACATACACAGATGACGCACCAGGGCTTGGGTGCATCTCTAAATACCTGAGAAAGATTAGCTTGTATCATTTAATACCTCCAAGACTAACCTAGTAATGTTTCATCACCACCAAGCAGACCCTAAATTTGCTCCAGTTCTGATGAGCAGTCATAATTTCAATGAGGATCTTTGCCTTGAACATATATTGGGTTTAATCTCACTCCAGACCTCAAACAGAACTAGTATAATTGTACTATTGCTAAAGATGCTGAAAAAATAGTCAGTGCCTTGTATCACTCTAGAAAATACTGAACTCTTGCTGCCATATTCTATCTTTACAAGAGTTAAATCAGACCAAGAATGAATATTGTTACTATATCTGGAATAATGCTGCCCAATCCTCACTGTCCAGCCTTGACAAAGTTCAAAAGCAATTGCATGGTCTTGTGGGGGATTAATTATTTTCTGCCCTACAAACCCTATTCCACAGAGAAAACATTGCTAGCCTCTCACTACAGTATTGCAATTACTATGGCAAATGTTCAAACAAATTTACATTCCTTAGTTCCACCAGTTCAGGCCATAACAGCTAAGACTGATCTGCAATGTTCACAACATCAAATCATCATTATTCCCTTCATATTCCTTTGGTAAAGAGTAAGTTTCACTCAGACAACTTCTTCTTCAGTACTGTTACTTTGCAGAACAGACTTCTGAGAGGATGCTTTCCTGATCACTACAATCTTAACCTCTTCAAGTCTAGGGTTTGCCAATATCTATCCTACATAACCTCATAATATGCACTTCTAACTTCCTCTTCCCCACTCCCATACAACAATCCCACTCAGTAATCCTCTACCTTGATTGACTCATGGGCCTTATGTTGGTCGAACTTAAGTAAAAAAAGAAAAAACTGATATGTGGCAAACAAGATTGTCCTTTTGTTAAATAGTTACATATATAGTTACATGTAGATAAGACAGAAAGTAGCCAATACTTTTTAGGTTACCTGTCCAAAAAATGAGTCCAAACTTTTTATGTAAAACGGGATGTCCTGATTTGTATATAGGGTCAACTTTGATTGACCAATTGATACATTCCAAAAGATATGTCTGCCGTTCAGGGTTATCCGCTTCCATACATTCAAAAAGATTGGCTATTTTGCCTGAAAGAAAATAAGAAAAATATTCAAGTAAATAGTAATATATATGGATAAAACAATTGTGTATATGTGCCACAATTGCAATATGCTTTTATTTTCAACCAAAATAATTTAAGAATAATTTTCCAAATTAAAAATTATTTGCACAACAAATTCTGGGTCCTTTCAGGGTATAGACAATCATAACTCTGCACAATTTCCTGTCCTTGCAGTTCTTAATAAATTTTGTCTTTGTTATTTCTCCTAAACCCTGTTCCGCCATTCATTTACTCAAGCTCACTAAGTATGTTATGCGTTGTTTTCCCCTGTCCCTCTCTTGCCTTCCATCTGTCCTGTGAGTATCAAATTTTCCAAACCTTCTTTCCTCATTGTGCCAGAGAAATTTCAACTGTTTCCTTCTGATGTTAAGTATGTTTTGTTTTCATTTTCTCTAAAACTTTGTCAGTGCTCACATATTCAGTTCATGGTATCCTCAGTATCCGTCTATAGAATCACATTTCTGTTGTTTCAAGTATCTTCTTCATCTTTGAGATTATCCATCATTCACTGTCATATTGGAGGACATACCACATGACAGTTCACTAATCTTTTCTTTGTTTCTAACAAAGTTTTTCTGTTTCTTAATACTCTTAGTTTTTTGAATGCTTAAACAATTTATTTACGCAACACAAATGTGAAAAATTAATATTAATGTCACTTGCAAAGAATGATTTTTGTTTTACAAATTTCCCCACATGAAAGCCATTACTTCTTTTCTAAAAAAAAATTAACAAAAGAAAAAAAAATCTATTCTAATGAAAACATTTGCTAGTAATTAACAGCTTCCTTGTTTTACTATTTCTTTCATATTTTTTTAATCTGATCCATATTGCTTACTTAACAATATAAAAAAGATGCAGTAACAATTTTAAAAAAAAATAATAAAATGAAAGAAAAGCTGGTAAAAATGAATACTAACATGCTTTATCTAAGATACTTGAAAACTATGATATCTAATACCACTAGTGCAAGTATACAGATAGTGGTTTAGTGATTGGAGGAAAAAATATAACTCTCTGGATAAATTTGAATGACCTCAACTAGTGTAGCCTTTGTGGCCTAATTAATAAGGCAGTCTCACAGAGAACTAGGTACATAGAAATAAAGGATGAAAGTTTCAATCGCATAGGAAACTTGTTCTTTATTTCAAATGTATACTATCCATGGTTATCCATACTCTGTGATCATAAAACAAAAGAAAAAATTCATGAAAGAAATAGTAAACAAAATTATTAAAAGGTGTCAATAGCACACATAAAAAATTAAAAGATTATTGGTTCCTTGTTTTCTAATCAAACAGTAGCTACTTGTAGATTCTTTAAAGTTAATTGCATACTTTGTTTTAAAACTGTCCATGAATGGGGAGAGAAAAAAGCCAATTCTTTCATGTATTACATTGATTACTTTGTCATTAATTCTAAACTGATTACCTAGAATTGTTCTGATAAGCAATTTTTTTTTATTATTAGAAATAGCAGGAGATATTGATAAAAATCACCTATGACCTAAAAACATTAAAAAAAAAAAAAAAAAAAGATGGAGAATATAAAAAAAAATCCTATGCCTACAAAATGCAAATTTAGCCCTGTCTAATTTTTTTTCAGCATCCCCATGACTAAATATGAAAAGAAACAAGAGGAAATTCTAAAAGTTTAAAACTTACTGACAGGTTCATCAGACACTGGAGAACCAGAAGTTTGTAATGTGTTTATATAAAGTGAGGCTAAGTCTGTTCCACTGCTTTGCTGCAAATATACAAGAGAAGTCAATCAATGAATTTTAAAAAGAAAGCATCTGATACAATATAAATACAGAAATTGAAAGACAAAAGCACAGTAGTTCATTTAGGTTTCAAATGATTCATGCAAGGAAATTCAATCAACAAAAATTTTAGGTAGGAAACAGAAGAAATAATTATGACAATGGACTTTGCAATCATTTTAAATCCAGATTGCATTTCAGAGATTTTAAAAATGCTAAGAGATTTTAAGAAAGAAAAAATATGTCAATATATTTGTCTTTCTTCTGAATAAGGTTTGTGGTAACAATTAATTAGCTAACTACTCGATCTCTCAGCAGATAGTTCCATTTTCATTACAACATCTAAGCTAATTTTCCAAGTAAAACTAAACCAAATTGAAATATTGCAGATCAAAATGTATTATAAAACATGATAAAATCTGTAGGCTTTGATTAAGGATAGAGCAGAAAGCTTACAGATTACAAAGCAAATGTTTATTTACTGAAACTATCTTGACAATTAACGTCCATGGATATAAAGGCAAAGCGACTAGATAATAAAAAATAAAACAGTTAAAATAGCACCAGTCAACATTATTTTACACTTCCAAATATTACCAATTAAGGCTTTAAATAGGTCACAGATCCTGTTACAGTCAGTATAGACTGGATCCTTGTTAATTTTTAGAATTTGATTGTTTGAAAAGTAATGTTTTAACAAACATAGCCTAACATTTTCACAAACCATCAATATTAACAATGACAAAAGCTCAGTATAAGATTATTTTATTCTTTATTGAAAGAACCTGGGATTTAAAAAAAAAAAAAAAAAATTCTGGTGATGCTGAACCAATCTTTATTTTTGTTTTGTAACACAAAAATGTTTCAATCATTTGATTAAATAGAAATCTTAGGGGAGAATACAGTAAAATATTTCAACATTATGACTTGACTTTCTCAAAAAATAAATAGACATTTTTTTTTTTACTCTTAAGAACTGTCAAAAACAGAACCTATCATGTTCCACTTATTGCTCACCAAAACCTTACCAGAGTAGCTCCCAAAGAAGAAATTTCAATTGAAAGAATTTTAGTAGAGAAAGGAATAAGGGAAAAATTTCAGTTATATATGTATAAGTATAAAACTGAAAAAGTATGAAAAACAATTCAAAATAAGGAAGGAACTGAAGAAACCTTGGACCCTGAGAATAACTAGTTTAAACATTGACATCCATTATTTCCTCAGAATCCCAAATTTTTTCAAGAAAAGAATTACATACTAGGTTTTTGTCATTACTAATATCAAAGACTGCATTGTTGACAAATAAGTTTAACAATTATTATATCTGAATGAACTTTTATTCCCTCTCCAAAAATGCAACATTACTTTCTAAACAATCAAGTACTATGTCAACAGTTGTTTCCCCAGAAGACATATTGCAACCACATGATATATAGTTAAAGTTCTTTCTTCGTAGTCAGAAAAGGGACAGATAAAATCTAGAGTTAAAAGTGACTATCCTCAAACTCATCATCATTCTACAACTGAAACAAGAGTGGTAAGGCAGCAATATAATTAAATGAATGAGGAACAATCAACTAAATAACTTACATCAAAAACACCTTCATAAGCAGATATAAATCTGATGGATATGATTTCTAAACATTGTTAGGCAATACAACAAACCTATCACGTTGGATATTGAAAAGCTGAAAATTTATAAAAATAGATTTACATTAATTATATAAAAATCAGTGCAAGTGTGAAGTGCCAAGCATAGAAGTACTCTAACCTTAAAGAATTCTCAAATTACCATATACTAGAAATGGTTAAATAAAAACTGACTAAAAATTTAACTTTATAAACTCAGTAGTAAAATAAATATATTTTGTCTATGAATCTTCTGGAACTTTCTTTTGATAGGTATTATCTAATTTCTTACTGTTATAAACATTTGCCATTATTTTCATTACATTCTATATTGAAATCTTGATCAATTTTTGTCACTAAAATTAATTAGTTATTCTGTATTTTTATACAACAAACTGAATTATTTGAAAAAGAAAGTAAACATTTTGTTTAATTTATGTAATTTTGTATTTTCGAGGTGACTGGCATTTATGCAAAACATGTTTATTTCCAGGGAAGAAACTATATTTTCATTTAGGTATGTAATACTGTTTCTTTTTATTTTTCTTATTTCAAATTTACCTTTGAATTTTGATTTGTGTAATGTTTGCACTTGTCCTTTTCACAAGAAGTTAATGTTATGCTTGTTTTTCTCTTTTTGTTTTTTTAATTTGAATTAGTTCATATCCTGATTTTCAAAATTTAAATTTATCCCTGACAATCTTCCCTTCTCTGGTAAATAATATTGTGATATTTTCCTACATATTTATCATATACGCTAGATCTGTTTTTAAATGTATAAACATTTTGAAATTTCAGGTTTCCATTGAAAAAAGGGAATGTTTAAAAGCTGGACCAAAAGGCAGTTTCTAACTTGGAATTATTGATAAAGATGCTGTCAAAAAATACCAAAAAAGTGCAGCTGAAGCAGATAGAAAGAAGACAACAACAAAATACTACATGTTACCTCTACATTGGATATTTTTCTACCAATATCTTCCTGTGAAGAAACAACTGATGACAGTTTTGAGCCAGGGAGTCTAAGGAACCTGATAGTTTTTTAAAAGTCCCTAGATATGCCATAGAACTTATTAAGAGTGATGTATCTTCCAACCTTAAGGTATGGCTTGCTAATGCCTTTTTATTAGACCTACAAGATATGAGCTTTCTTTATCCAGGTTTTAACTTGAATGACATTATCACTAAGTCAAAAATAGACTGGGAAAAGGCAAGAACAAAAGTAACCATCCATAAGAAGCATGTTCAGAACCATGAAAATATCATCTGCATTGTTGTTGATTGCAAAGTTGATAAGGACACTTTGTGATATAAAGAGATTACAGAGGAAAACAGCGAATAAAAAAAAATTAAGAAAACCAAAGGACAAGAGTATCACTTGGCTTTCCATTAAGAGCTGGTTTTAAGTACATTGATGAACTACAAGAAGCCCTACTACTTTTACTGTTCCTCTAGGAAAACTATGTGGAAAAGGTTACCAAAATTTACCCCAGGTAGAATTTAACACTACCGGCGACCCTCTGGATAATTTATATCTTACTGCAGGAGCAATGGAAGATTTGAATGGTGACCAGAAACTGCTCTTAGAATAGGCAGTAGGAATTTCTTGAGGGAAACTGAACCTTAGATTTGATACCTGGAAAATTGGGTCTCTAAATCAAGCAGGTTAATGTTTATGGATAAGAGGTGCCTATCCACCAGAACTCTATGAAAAATTGCACAACCTTATTAAGTTTATAATCTTACTTATTATAAAACGCAGATTGCGTGTGTGTCTGTTCGTTTATATATGGGATTGTATTTCCTACATTTTTCAACTGATTTCAACAAAACTTCACAGGACTACGTAAAATTACCCAGCAGTGGTTCTGACAGTGCCAAAAATTGGAAAAACACAATTGTTTTTGCACAAAATCAATTTGAAAGCACAGGTAAGGGTATCGCACCCGGCCAGAAGTTACTGCCGGCTACTCAAACATCCGTATGCCGTTAACTTCCGGTGACTCAGCATTTTTTTTTCAGAGAACGATACACAACAAGTAAAACAAATGAAACATAAACATACACAAGTCCTCCTAACTAAAAATAATAACCGGAAACTACTTTAAATACACATGGTATCCAAATGAAACCCATGTGTACAGTCAAAATGCAGAAGTTAATTTTTAGTCATCAACCAAAAGATATTGCCAACCGGCTACGATGCTAACTGCAGCCGACATAAATACAGCCGATTTCTTCCACCAAACAACTCCGGGGTAGAGGGACGTGCTCCCCCTCTCACCTTCACCTGGCCGACCCTCGTGGAAAATAAACCTCCACATCTCAAGTGTTAATAAAAGCAAAGCATATCAGATTTATAAAGATTTCCTATTTGTCCCTTATCCTATCATTCCTATCTATATTTGATCTTAATCATATATATATATATATATATATATATATATATATATATATATATATATATATAAAAACAGATGCAAACTATGCCTGGAAGAAAAAAATTAAAATAATTAAGTACAAAAATACAAGCCAGTTATTGAACCAGAGAAATGAAATTATACTTAAATGCCATCATAAAAATAAGTAATAAGTTTATATAGTCTTAAAAATAGACATTTATTTTGCATCAAACACTGAAGAATATATATTAGGTTTGTAACTATGTAAGTTTATATGTATGTATATATATGTATGTGTGTATTGTATATGTGTGTATCTATCTATTACTTTTATTACTATTATTATTACTTTAAATATATATACATATTTTTTATTACTATTAAATGATGATGATGTTTAAATAAATAACAACATAGATTGCATTTCTGTGATTTTTATTACTGGTTGCACAGTTAAAGTTTTATCCATAAAATTTTAACCTACCTTCCCTTACTGCAATATTCTCAAAAAAATCTAAAGTAGGATCTGTAATGTAATCGGTACTGAATTAGCTTCTTGACTTCAGCCGCTTTCTCACAGACTTCCCTCTGTCTTTTCTACAAATATTTTCATGGCTACTGCACTGATGATCATTTTTTCCCTGGTGCCCTGACTACATGAATTTAAGTTTGCTACTAGATTGGCATCTAGGTCCCAACTTTTTACTGTTGAAATAGTTAAATGTAACCGCCCTTCTAACAGTTTCTTTCTTTGCACTCCTCCATATTGGAACTCCATTCCTCTCACTTGCTTCCTTGATAACTACAATCATCAAAAACCTAAATGCAACATCAGTCACCATGTTTTGTTGCGTTGATACCTGTTCTTTTTTCCTTTCTTCAATCCCCTCTACACCCACTCTTTTCTCTCATTTTCACTCTCCATAACCCCGTGTGATAATGGCACTTCTGACTTG